TTTATGTTATAAAAAGAAATTACATCTCTTAATTTTCTTTTACTAAAAGAAAAGCTTTTTCTTCAAAAACCTATGTGGTAGTGTGCAACATATTTAGAGCTTACGATCAGCAATTTCTCTAAAGAGGAAGATTTAAGGAAAAAAGTGACTCTAAAAGTAATTTCAGCAGCAAAGTAGATTAAATATCCACCATATTAGTCACAGAGTATTAGATGGAATTGGATTGACTGGGAAGAGGTCAAAGAGTTGCTGAAGGTTTTAGCCCACCAGAGGAGCAGTAAAATTCAACCATACTTAAAATCATTAGCTTTAAACCCTTTGATACTAGATCCAAACCTCCAGTGCTCACAGAAGGAACCTCCAAGCACCATGCCAAGCCAAAAGGAAACCCTTTAAGACATCTGCATTTCATGGAAACCTTTCAGTGAAGGAGAGGAGTGACAACAGAAAGAACCTGCACATCAAGAAAAACTGAACCACAAATAGAGAGGAAAGGAAAATGCAGCCTTTAAAGCGAGTTAACTTATAAAATAGCAAGACATTCACTTCAGCACGTACTAGTGGGGCCTGGGGGTCATTTTTTGGCTAGCAAAAAACCCACCCACCAGTTCCTGCATACTTCCTGAACTCTGCTTCTCTGCTCCCAGTACCACCACTAATTTCTCCCTTCATTTTCCCGTGGTGACAAGGCGCGTTCCCCCTCACAAAGGACATGTTTGCGGAGCGAGTGCTGCACCAAAAATGAGACAATCGGGGATCTGAATTGTATGACATGATAAAGGAAAGACACTATGTGCTGACAGCAAGGCAAGGAGGAAATCTAAAAACACAGAAGTCATCTAACACAGCGACAATCCAAAAGAAAGAGAAAAAGGCAGAGGAGTAATTAAAAACCCTGAAGACAGTGATGGGTCTCAAGTTTTTGAACTGACTCCCTATTTAATAGAATGGATGGTTTCCACCCGAGAGAAGAGAGATAAAAGAGAGACTTTGCTGTAACTAATAACCAACTGACATATTTCTGTTGGTTTTGTACATTTCTTCACTCATTTTGAAAATGACAAGTATAATTAAAGTTGTTAAATACATCGAGAGACTTGTCAGTCAACTAAAATATCAACTCTTATAAATTCTCCACAATAAGTACTGCACACAGCACAATGCAGAAGAAATTAATCTCTCACTAGAAAGATTTAGTCATTTGATGATCCTATAAAAAAAAAAAATCCCAGATTTTCTGTTTCCTGGGGCAAAATGAGCTTTTCTTCATGTGTTTGTGGATATAAAATGTATGTGTTTAATTTAACTTCTGTAGCATAGCAAAATTAAAATCTCAAGAAGAATTTTGGTGCCTATTCTGAAATGTTTGAGGTTCTAACTTGAATGCATGTCATTCACAGGAGGTTTTTTTCCACAGGTATGTTTTTCATGAAGGATAAAATAAAAAGAGGATGCTCCAGAAAAGTGTCTTTTAGGGACAAGTTCCAGTGGCTGTGCCCTGCCACAAAGCTCAAACTAAATTAAACAGGAACTAAGTGATACTTAAGTCTTGTGTTAGCTACATATACAGGATAATTTTAACCTCAACACATAAAACCCTCTTACAGCTGTAGCCTTCCAAGCCATTCAGAAATAAGCCAAAACCTCCAAGTGTGATTTCAGCACTCAGCTAATCCATGTGTGCTAACAGGTACAGTATGATCCAAAAGGCTAAGAGCCAGTCAGGAGAGAGGAGGCCATGTAAATATGTGAACTACTTCAGAAAAAGTGCTGGAGGAAATAAACTACCCTTGAAAACATGTTTTTTTCAGTATTTGCTAAGAAACAGTGCCTCAAAGCAGCCATCATCACTTTCCATCACCTTATCTGCTGAAACAGTGGATTAAGTTCATTTAAGTTTATGAGGGGCAACTCATGAATATGCTGAAATACTCTGCTTCAGACTTCTTCCTGTGCAGAACATGGACCTACACAAACTTTGTAGACTGCTCATCACATCTGTGGGAATCTTCCACTGCTCTAACCCACCCTGGGGAAAATGGGAGCTGGGCACTGCTCAGGGTTGGGCAGCACGTGGCTCTAGGTGGCAGTGCAAGGCCATGAGGGCAGCAGGTCCTTCCCCTCCCCTCCTGCGTGCCCTGGAGAGAGACAAATCCTAAAAGAAGTAGGGGGAAAACAGCTCCTTGGAAAATACTAAGGCTCTCTGGAGAAGTAAAACCCACAGGAAAACTGAGTGTATTAAATATAATTTACGACAAAGCATCCAAAACTCATTTAAGTGTAACACAGTCCCTCCTGTAGTTGCTGCATAAATGTAATCAGAGAGGAGTGAAAAGACACGAGAAGATTTAGCTCAGTCACTAAAAGACACATTCAAGAGCAAAGTCATTGTGATGGGAGAATAACTTCCACCTTGTCAAAGCCTTCTGTAAGTGATTCCCCTTCCAAGCTCAATTCTACTTACTCCTTCAGGGACAAGGTAACTATGGGCTTATTCTGGAGACTGTAATCAATGCTGTCTAAATTAGAATTAGCACAACTGGTGCTGTAGGGTGTAGGCTGGGTTCTCGTGCGAAAAACTAATTAGCACTGATTATAAAATAAGTTTTAACTTTTGCTGGAACCAACCCCCCCCTTTTGTTTTTGTTCTGGGTTTTTTTATCCTTTTTAAAGGTTGATTTATGCTCTGGCATTTTCACATCCCCACTAGTTATAGGAGAATTTTTATTGTAGGGTTTCATAGATGATCAGATGGGAACCAGACCAGCTTCTCCCCTCCTGCTAGTGGAAGGTCAAGCCTCAAAGCAGCTCAGTCTTTGTTGTTGTTTAAACCTTGGCAACACTGCTGGCATTGTCAGAAATAAGTGAAGGTTTATATACAGGCAATACCTGACCACTTGGAGCTGGACTGGGATCCACTGTACAGAACAGATTATGGATGAAGCCTACAAATATCCTTCATAAAGCAAGACAGTTTCTTTTGCACTTCATAAAAGTAAACATAGAGAACTTATAGAATTTCCCTGATGGAACTTACTGCTTTAAGCCATTTTGATGAGTAGGTACTCTTGCTGTAGTAATATTTGTGTATACACATTTTATTCTACTATCTGAGAACACTCTTAAAATATCTTCAAGCATTTTACATGCTAGGTGGAATACACTGTTATATCAAAGCAATTCCTGTGTTTCATAATTTAAATCAGAGCTGGAAGAATGAGGCTGCAGTGATCGATTTCTTTTCAGGGATAGTGACTGAAAGAACAGTTGACATTTCATAGGTTTTTTAGTGCCTAAAATAGTGTGTTTTCAATCTCTGAAGGCTTATTTTTCTTTCTAAAGATGGCGTGGGGCCTGGGGGACCCACTTAAAGTTTCTTGCCATACTTGGCCAAGAAACACAAAGTGTTGGTGAAGTATAAACACAGGGCCCTTTTTCTTTGACCCATTCTGCAGTGTGATGGGATAGTGTTGTTAGTTTATGCGAGAGAAAATAGCATAGGCTTTCTGAAAAAAAAAAAAAAGTGGAATTGGATTAAGGCCTTTGTGCAAGCCTCAATGCTGAGGGGAATTAGCAATAGTTGTAGGCACTTAAAGGAGCTCTCATGCTGAAGCTTATCCCAGATTTTACACAATAAACATTTGAATATCAACAGTGTTTTGCAACTTGCAGCACTAATGTATAAACTTCTTCCTTTTGAAACTCCCAAATCCTTCCAAACGTTCGCAATACCCTCTACATAAACATGTAGGGCCTATAGTGGAAAACACCCAGTCAGGGATGTAAGTCTGATTTTTTTTATTTCTTTCTTTTTCATCCTGGAATCTAAAATGAGATCTAGTACCATTAGCTGGTTTAAGCACTTCAGAAGTTCTGTATTTTAACCAACTTTCTCCCCTCCAGCCTTAGTTTCCATTTAAAAGACAAAGATGTCAATGAGACATGAGCTTGATTTGGGTATCCTAATATTACATATTTCATGCTACAATAAAAAGGCACTACAAAACCTTTGAAGTGGTTCATTAAAATACTGATCTATCCCTCTTATCAGTATGTTCGTAGCATATTTTTTTTGAGCTCAGCTAACAAGCTTAAACCACACTACAACACGAACGTGTGGGACAAGCATTCAATTCCCTTCCTTTAAACTCATCTGCAGGTGAGCAGGACTCAGAATAACTAGGAAAAGCTGGACTCCTGGCTGCTGGGGCTCTATTAACATCCATGAAGCTGCTGTCATTAGCTTAAAGTCAAGCTTGGCAGTTAATGATAGACAGTTTTGTAATATTAGGTGTATCAAATTCACACTGACTACAGCTGGGAAAAAGATCCGTCTTTTCCAGATAGTGATCAGCTAGATTTGCAGTTGACATGACATTTCTACTGGCTTTTCTAGATGAGACTTAATTTTGGTATCCTGTTTAAAGGATGAGAGCCGATTCAGGAACAAATTACTTCCACGCTCTTGGTGTGAGCCCAAAGTAAATCTTCTCAATACAGTATCTAATTATAAAAGATTCCCCCCAATTCCCTTTTTAACTCCTGTTAGGTAGGTATGCATGTAATCAATTTTACAGCTTTGTATCTGTAGCTGTCCACTAAAAGATGGAACAAAGAAATAAGCCCATGGTGAAATAGCAGGGTGGGAAAAACTTGGAGATCATTTTTTGTTACAGTGTTTGTTTTGTGCTTGAAAGGACTGCGATAAGAAACTCATTGCATTAAGAAAAAATGAAGACATTACTGCCCTGTCCAACTCTGAAGCATGTTGAAGCAGTTTGCCTATTGAATTTGATACAATGATGTATAGATGAATAAAGTTATCTCTAGTATTGAATGGGACGGTGTCAGTGGGAGGGTAAAAAGGGAGGAACTTGGAATCTGAAAAGAATACTTTTCCCCCCCCTCCGTCTCTTTTTAAGAACTTGAAGGTCAGGGTCCAGCTGCCGTAAAAGGTTAGAGGACAAACAAAATGCTGCACAGGCCCAAATAAAGACAACTATAGACACATAGCAGAGGTTTCCTGCTTCAAGTAGCTATTATATTAACCTACACTTTAGGCAAAGAGCATTTTAGGTTTCACACTGATGAAAACATAGGATGAGCAGAAGCATCAGTAAAAGTTGCATCTTTAATGAAAGAGATGAAACAGGCCAGCAAAGGTAGGAAACCATTTTTTAAAAGAGGAAATTATATTGAATCTAGTTTGCTTAAAACTCTAATTATTTTGATTGAGATACGCCAGTAATCTTGCTTTTCACTTCTTTACATTCAACCAGGAGCTATTCTAAAAGATCCGTTGCCTAGCACACGCAAGGCCTATAACACACAGAAAGAAATAGTCTTGAAATTTGAGGTAGTATATCAAAATATATACTTGAACTCAGTGCTCATTCATCCATGTTTATAAATTGGTAATATTCTGATAATCTATCGTTCATATTATGGTCTGGAAAATAAGGAGAAGAATAGTGAAGTAGTCAGAAGGGTTAATATCACTGATGAGAGGGGAAAACTGCATTAAAACATCAACTTGAACTGCATTTTGTCATTCATGCTCAGAGCTGCTTATTGTTGTCTTGTAATTATTCTAAATTTAAATGTCTCCCCATAAGATGAAAGAATGGCTAGTATCTTTTTTTTTTAAAGAATAAAAACTACTAGCCTGTCCTGTTCAGCAGGGGGGAGGAAAGGGCTGGATAGCTTTGTCTGAGTTTGCTTGGCTTTTTTAAAACAAAAAAGAAACAGTGGAGTTGGAATAGTCTCATTATGTCAATTTTTTAATATACGTAAGTATATATATACACGTAACTTCAGATATCATTATAAAAACCAACCCAATTCACTGTATTACTGTTTTTCCAGCACTGGTTGGTTTTAATTGTTTGGCAGTTTTGCTACTTGTTTTTTTTATTAGTAGCATAAAATTCTAAAAAATTATTCAAAGGAATTCAACTGTTTGATTTAGCATATACACTTTCCAATAAAGAGATCTACTGTTGCCACATAATCAAATAAGCTCCAAGTTAACTTCTAAAGTCGATATTTAATCATATATGTTGGTAGAAAGGGAAAGGCAGAAACAAAAAGAATCTTCTGTTTAAAAAAAAAAATATTTTCACCTTCTGAGAAAAATGTTTTAAGAAAGAAAAGCTGCAAATAAAGGTCGAAGTGAAAAGAAAAAAAGATGCAACAGTTAAGCCTTAAAACCACTGTTTCCAGGCTAATATATGTTGCAGATCATTAGCTGAATGCATTGTCTAATGGGCATAAATGATAGCCTTCGTTTTGAAGTTTCTCTTTCATCTGCAGTCAAACTTGGAGTTTGATCCAATCTATATAGATAAATCTAGGGATTAATCTGGAGGTTTAAATGGTTTAGCCAAAGGTTGGTCCAGCTTTATAATAATGACAGCTGATTTGTGTTACTTTCCACTGAGATTCCTTTTTTTGGATGACCCCCCTACATATTGCATCTTGCAATCAGACTGTTGACAACTCTATTATGCTGACAGCAGAGGTAGAGCTACGCAGGGAATTATACAGCATGTTGTGCTGTAAATGTTACTCACAGATGTCTTAAGAGGCAGTAGTTTGTCCCATGTGCTCCTATCTCTGCTGCAGTGCATCTCTAGTTGCAGTTGTTCAAGTCAGAATTGGTGGCATGCTGAGTCTAATGCAACTCTTACCAACAACTTTCTGAGATTAGGAGCCTGTCAGGATGATGTCAATGGAGGTTTAAGAAGTGCTTTCTGAAGTTGTTCTGAGTTAATAATTAATGGGTATCTCCCTTTGATAGTTCTTTTATATTTGGATGCAGCTGGCTGGAAATAACCACAAAGGGAAACTGATTTTATTTGTCATTAATTTTGACTTTACTTAGCAAATTATCCTGTGTCCCACCATCACAGCTTCACTAATCTGGCTGTGCTATAATGTGAAGATGAAATCTTTGATTAACAAAACAGATTAATCAGTTTCTAGGGTGTTTTGGGGTGAGATGCATGTACATACATCTCCTCCCAAGTAGTTTTCCAGTACATGCTTAGAGATGTGTTAAGTGCTAAAAGCTGTTGAGCAATCAGAATGTTTTTGATGTAGGTTACGTCTTCTTGGATAAATGAGTGTTTTGCCAACTAAAGCAGAAACATTTTGTCTGCATATGAGGTGAAAATTTGGCACTGCATGCTGGAATATACAGGTTTAGGGCTCAAACCCATAGTTTATACTCAAAAATCATCTTTATCAGTGAAACTAATCCGAGTTAATTTCCAGTATTACTATTTTGCTACAATAATACCCACAGATGCTAAATGCTGCCTAGATATATGCCAAGACTATGCCCTACCTTAAATAATTGCTATTTTACATTGATTTATTTTCCAGTACTTGAAATATGTGCATATGTATCCTACCTACGCATTCCAACTCTGGCACAAGAGTAAATTCACACATATTGACCTTAATTTCCCTACAAGGAAAGATGCTCGAAGATTCAGCCCTTTATGAGATCTCTGTAGTGCCATGAAAATACAGTTAAATTACTTCGTAAAATACTTTTGTCAGACTGACCCAGTCTGCTAAAACTACTTCATGAAAGAAATTAGGGAAACAGAACCAGTTAAAAGAGGACAGAAAAATGCCTTATTCTGGGTATTCAGAGATTTTGTCACTGTTTGAATGTTTCCAGCTACAAATAATAATTAATAGATTAATCTTATACCCTTAAATTAAAAATTTTACAGTTCAGGTGAGAAAAAAAAAAATCAAGAGATGCATTCAAATGCATTTGTGCTGTTTTCATATGAGAAAACCAGCAGTTAAGCATATTTTGTTATTACCACAGGTTAAGAATCAAAGTAAAACATAGTAGTTAACTAACAGGTCTCTTACTCTCCTGGGTGACCTACCCAGTGTAGATGAAATCCTATTTGGACAGAACACTCTACTAGTCAGATAATGAAGAAGCAAGTTTACTGTATTGATTTTTAGAGAACACACTTTTCTAACTAGTATGAATAGACCATGTTACCCATTTTCTAATTATTAGATATTTTCCATCCTGTGAAACAAGTTTTGAGTGTTCATAACAAGCACATAATACAAACTTTTCCAGTAAGATCAAGAAATAAAAACAGGAAGTATTTTTATTAGTTGCTATCTATGTGGACACACTGTAGAGGCAATAAATATATATTTTGGTCCCAGGTTTGTAATGCAGTGTATGGATTTGGTTATAAAAGTAGGTATCACCTGTAAGTAACTCTGAAAAACTTCAATACCAGCAGAGATATGACTCCCCCCTACCACCAGCGTGCACCTCAAATACATTTGAGTGTTTGAACATATTTTTGAACTATGAAGGACACCCTTAAGAGATAAGAGAAGCTTGACCACCATGTCACAGTTCTCACTGATCATCCGGAATTGAAAGGAGCTTTTACTCTCTTCCCACCTTCCCAAACCCAGCTTAAAAATTGTTTTAAAAAGTTGACAGGTATCAGCTAGGAAGCTGAAGGTACAGCAAGGTCTCCAGATTTTTTTTTTTTAATATCCTTACCTGTTTAGACAGATTAAGTCAGGAAAAGATGCTGTTTCAGTCATCCTGAGCATTTGATTACTATTTGACCTGGGTTTGATATTTGTCGGTAATACGCAAGTAGGACAAACTTGCTAAATCTTGCTGAGGGAACTCTAACAGCTTTTGTTTAACTCAGTAACAAATAAACACATACCTCTGCTTGTGTTTATATACGTAGATGCATATGTTTATCAATAAAACACACGAAATACACCGAACTGCATTCAAGCATAAGTCATTATCCGCTGCATTCTCTCTTCCATTTAAAAAAAGGACAAAGATATCGGAGAATTGTAAGGATTTTTGTTAACGTGTACTCTATAAAACTATCTGATTGAAACAGTATATTCTCCCGAGAAACTTGAAATTGGGTGTTCTAGAAAGCACTCCAATTTTAAGATAACTACAGATAACAGATTTTGAAAGGCAGCATTATAAAAGCAAAGCTTATAATATTTCAGTGCCTACCGCGGAACTGCACAGCAGTAATTTCTCCATGACTTGTTACTACTTTAATTGCATTTTGAAGCTTGATATTGAGAGAAGACTTTCGTGTTTAGTTTACTGTAATGTTCAATTTTAGCTCAGTATTGTGCTTTTTAAATGCAGACAAAAATTACTGAATAAATATTCCTAAATAAATAACTCCATTAGATCCAAATGGTTGCAAGAAAAGCATTCTTTGTGGCTGTCTATGCCTTCCCTTCATATTTTTGATATAAATAAATATTTTGAGCAAGTTCCGCAAAAGAAATGTAAACACTTCAGATAAATGCACAGCTCATGAAGCACATAGCTAAATATAAGACTTATCTAGTGTTTCTTTTAAGAAAACAAAATATTCCCAGCAGCAAAATATTTTAAATTATTTAAATATGTAACCATTTAAAAATAAATAGTCATGTCCTACGTACAAAATATTCAGTTCCAGACTGAAAATATTTGGTTTCTAATACGAGCAAATATCTTGACAAATGATTTTGTATTTAAAAAAAAAAAAAGACCAATATTTCCTGCTGTGTTAGCTCTGTTTCACTGATGTGGTTAAATAGATTTTTAACATTCACCACTTCTTAAAGGTGCACAGAACCAGGGTGATGACAAGATATCTGTGTCATGGTAAATTGAGAAATAATTATTCTATTCTTTGATTTATTACATCAGCTGTAAAGTATCTAAGTCGAACTGGGCACTGCAACCTCTGCACATGTGAACGCTTCTCCTTATGTTATTTGTCTCATAGTCTATTCAAATGGGTTAATTACTCACGGGTGTAAAGAGGAACAAAATTTGGACCTTAGCTCTCTGCTTTACCCTTAAATCTTTATTAGCCTCTGTCTACAAGACTATACCTGTGTGGTAAAGAAAGGAGTAAATTACACAGTTGCTCCAGTGTAATTGTTTTAGGCGTTTTGAGCTTGAAATAAAAGCTGTGTTAATAAACGCACAGCTGAAAGCTTCGCTTTCTATAGCGCCCAGACGCTTGTTTGCATTTGATGAAAATTATTAATACTAACACCAAAACGGTTTTGAAACCATTTATATGGAATACATACCTACCTCTTTGGTTAGAATCAGTGA